AAAGTAAAGTAGGCATAAAGTAAAGTAAAGTAAAGTAAGCGGAGTAAAAAGTAAATACAAAACAAAGTAAGCAAGTAAAGTAAGCACAATGTAAAGTAAAGTAAGGTAGGCATAAAATAAAGTAAAGTAAGCATAAAGTAAAGTAAAGTAAAGTAAGCAGAGTAAAAAGTAAATACAAAATAAAGTAAGCAAAGTAAAGTAAGCACAAAGTAAAGTAAAGCAAAGTAAGCATAAAGCAAGGTAAGCAACTTTTTAGCTTAAATTTCTTAATTGTGAAAAATATTTTTATTGGATTCTAGAATAATCATCATTTGTTATCGAGAAAAAAAAATCCAAAATATATATATTAAAATGTTAAAATAATTCGAATATTTTTGTTTACCAAATATTTTATGAATCAAATAATGTAAATTCATAAATGTATAAATTTGCATAAAAGTTGTTTTAATTTGAATATATAATTTATCATTCTATCACATATAATATTTCTCCCAGATATTCTGAAAGAAAAAAAAAAGTGAAGTAAGCAAAGTAAAGTAAGCATAAAATAAAGTAAGCATTAATTTGAATATTTATTAGCTGAATGATTCATTTGTATCAAAAAAAAAAGTGATAGAAATGGTTTTAATTTTAAATTAATTAATCATTTGTCTAATTTTCATTTCTTAATTTAATAGTCAGATTTATTTCCAATATTTTAAATTTTAGCAAAATTAATATCTGAATTGTAAACATAAAGCATTTTGTGATGTTAACAGTGTTCCATATTTGAAACATGCATCAATCAATATCTTCATCAAGTTTATTAATTCCTATACTAAATTATTGTAACCAACAATACTCCTCTATTATAACCTTCTTCTTCTAATCTAGTTAAAAAAAAAAAGTTACAGGTATATTGTAAAATATCCACTATATATCCACCTATATCCACTACATCCACAATATCCACTTTTCATCCACTACCACTATATGAGCAGGTAATGAATCATTTAGATTTAATTTCATCATTAACTTTTCCTCAAAAAAAAAAAACCAGTTCCTTTCAAAAATCCCTCAAATATTTCCATAAGAACTTATAAACTCAATCTATCGATCGATTCTAAACTATTATCATTCGTTGATACATACATATTAATTATCTAAAAATAAACAAATCTTCTACACAACTATTTACCAATTATCATAATAAATAATTAAATTCTATTTTGCAGATGTAAAAAAAAAAAGAAAAATCCATTCAAAAGAAAGAGATGGATGTTTTAGTAATGATTTTTCTGTGAATTGATTAAGAAACATATTTTGGCTTAAGTTATCAATTCTTTGGACTTTTCTCTATCTCTACTTCTATATTTTTATGTCATAGTTGTCTGATCTAAAATTTCCATTACGAGAAAATAAGTCTAGGCTCTAATTCCGTTGGCTTTTGTTAACTTCATTGCAAAAGAATGTGTCTAATTCCATTGGCTTTCGCTAACTTCATTGGCAAGAATGATAAAAACAAGTGTTGAACATTTTATTCACTCAATCCTTTTCCTTTCGTACTCTTTTTTTTTTTTTTTTTCTTTCCTGGGCTTTTTTTAACCATAATAAGAATTTGTATGAGCAAATAAAAATGTCTTGCCTCATATTTTGAGTGGAACTTAAATTGTTCAAAAGGATTATTAAAATGATAAACAAAATTATCAACCTTTTTTGAACAAATAGCTTTATAAAAAAAAAAAATAAAATATGATCCAGAACAGAAGAGAGAGAAAAAAAGAAAAATCTTTTATTATGAGAAGTTTTGATTGTAACTTTCTGAGATATCTTGGACATTTTCATAAAATAAGATTTTGTTTAATTACAGAAATAAAAAAAACAACTGGAAATATCATTCTATCTTACGATGATTAATTAAAGAAAACAATTGAAAATATCAATTTATCTTATGACGATTGATTAATTTCAAAAAAAAAAAAAATAGAAAAAGGAAAAAGGAAAAACTCTAAAAGTTGAGAAAAACCTCTTAATTTAATGAAAAGAATTTTCTTTTTTTTTAATTTAACGAAAAAATATTTTGTTTCCATTAGAAATAACAATTCTACAATTAGAAATTAAAGAAAATAAAAATAAAAAAAAACGATAAAAGGGAAAAAATCATGAATTACTAGAAAAGAGAAGATTGTTTTTTTTTCCGTTTCATATTTACATAATATTATCATATCATTTTATTCTTCTATTATTGCAACAATTAATTAATTCTTCCTATTTCTAAAATTTTTTAAAAAATTTTCATCATTAATATGACATAACTTTTAAATTTCTTTTCAACATAATTTACTGGTTGACAAAAGTAATATGTCTTTTATAGTAATTAGCATGAAATAGAAATATGATAATTTCGTCTAATCAAATTTCTATAAGATAAAGTGCAAAAATGTTCTCAATATATCTATCTACCTGTACATTGGAATACTCAGAATATATCTATTTACCTGTACGTTGGAATACCTAGAATATATCTACCTGTACATTGGAATACTCAGAATATATCTATTTACCTGTATGTTGGAATACCCAGAATATATCTATCTACCTGTGCGTTGGAATACCCAGAATATATCTATCTACCTGTATGTTATCATCGTTAATTTCTTTCAATCATTTCTTTATACCATGTAATTATTGCAATTTAATATATGCGTATCTCATTTCTTTATTTCAATTATGTTATTATTGCAGGGAAAGAAAAAAGAAACAGATAATAATAATATTTGGAAAATTTTGCAACTAAAATAAAAAATAAAATATCATTTAAATAAGTAAACGATATTTTATTTTCAAACAATATTTTATTTTTTATTTTTTTAATTTTTCAAAAAATATTTTATTTTATTCTTTTTTTATTTAAGTCGCAATTGATTAAATAAGAGGTTC